AAATTAGAAGTAGAAACCTACTTGAACATGGTATAAACACTTTAGTCTAAATATAAATTCAGGCTAGGATGTTCTTAAAAAGACAGAGAGATTGTTTATGATTAGAAACAAAACAAAAGAAAACCTGCAACATGATGTGATATTAGTAAAAATATCAGTTAATAGCTAAAAGAAGATGTATACTTATTTCTAAAATAGAGTTTCATCTATACCATAAAAGAAAGTACTTAAGAGACAGATTAGTTGTACAATCTATTAAAAATAATATTAAGACTAAGAAAAGTTACAAATCAGCAATGAAAGCAGGAATCTGGCTTAAGATATATATTACCAGTATCTGAATTAAAAAGTTAGCAGTAGTAGCAGAAACCTGACTTAAGATATATGCTAGAGAGGCACCCTTTAGACAAACCAAAGATAGTAGCTCAAAAGGAGTAAATGACCTAGTAAACCAATTTGGGAGTTGTTAAAAATAGGTTGTAAGACATGAAGAGAATATATAGATTATCTAATATAATTAGTAATAAAACAAAAATTTAGGTTAGATGTAAGTAGAACACAATACAAAACTCTGATAGGTTTAGGTTACAGATAAATATGTCTGAATCTTATGTCTGAATAAATATATAGTAATAGATAATATATAATAGATTTGTACTAGCTATAACAAATATACTAATAAAGACTAAAAGGCATAATCTTACCTTAATACCAAAATAAAAAATAAAAAAAACACAAATAATCTTTTTGTTAAAAAAATAAATAACACAGATACTAATAAACTTTAACAATTCAAAAAAAGATAGAACTAGCAAAAGATAAAGAGCTAGTGCTAGTAGTAGTAGTTCAAAATAAAAAAAACTGATTAGGCAATATGATCCAAAATGAAAAAGTGCTTGGGCTTTAAAAAACATGTCTAAATATAAAAAAAAAACAGGTAATTAAAATAAAAACAACAATAAAGACAGTCATATGCCAAACACAACAACTGAAGCATATATTATTACAAAATTTCAGTCTGTAAGCAAAGTTACTCAAAGCTATATCTTAGTAACCAAACAAAACACAAACTTAACTGCTAAATAGAAAAGAAAAAAATCAATTTTCATTACTTTTTTATCTAAAAACAAAGTTAGATCTAAAAACAATAATGCTCTAATTATTAAAATTTCTAGTCTTTATAGTTCTCTTAATAAAATTATGGTCTTTTTGCATAAAGAACAAAGAAAAAATATCATAGCTACCAAATAGCATTTTAGAAAAAGCCTAAGATCCTATCTTGAAATTGTATTTTTAAACCAAAACTAACTGGCATATTATATTATTAAAGGAGTTAAAATTTTTAATGAAACCTATTATAGATATATTTCTATAGATTCATGCAAGTTTTTCTTTTAGTCAAACTAAGAAATATTTCTTTAGATACTAATGAACAAGTCTCTATGCTGGTCAAAGAAGCATTTGAAAATTTTAACAAAATCATCTTAATTAAACTATTACTCATCAAAGGTACTCTTTATATAACAGACTAATAAATTGTTATCTTTGATAATACAGAAAACTCTAAATTGAAGCAAAAAATTCTTTATTTTACATATATTAAAGACAACAGAGTTACTACTAAGTAGAAGAAAGCACTAAAAGTATACTACTTCTGTGATTAAACTAGTTATATCAAGAGAATTACTTGTAATTTCAAGAAGCAAAGAAGTTAAAACAACATTTTTAAAAACTTAAAAATAAAAAGAGAAACCTAATTAAGATATCAGATAAGATCATTACAGGAAACCAAATAGACACTAACAAAGAACATGCTACAGTTTAAGAAATAATAGAAGATGACATTTCAGAGACAGCACTTAACCAAGAACAAATAATAAAATCAAAAAAAATCTTATTGCAAATAATATAAATGCTAAAGCAGAATAATTTGCAGATAATGCACTGATTGCAAACACTTGTTTTACCAACTCAGTTCTAGAGAATGTGAATACAAATTAGAAAGATGACCATATAGTTAATCAAGAAAATATTAAAAATACAGCCTTTATACTAGTAGTAAAAAAAAAAAAGAAAATATAAAAATGCAAAACTCTACAACATAGCCAACAAAGAAAACCAAAATAACAAACTAAAACAAAGAGCCTAAGAAAACTTTAAAAACTATTAATTTTTTATGAACAATATATCAATTAAAATTGCTACTTTAAATATTAAAGGTTTAAATAATCTAGACAAATGACTTAAAACATTAATATTGTTAAAATTATACAAACTAGATATCATTTTTTTATAGAAAACAAATATTTTTAATATTGCAATACAATAATTTTTAAAAGACCAATAGTCTTTTGACTTGATTTGAACAAACAAAATAACAATACTAACAGAAAACAAGAAGATAAAGTTTCAGAATATCAAAGATCCTACAAAGACAGAATTATCTCTAACTGTTTTATCTTTAAAAAATTTTTTTTTTATATAATCAACACATATGCACCACCAAATGCTTTAGACAGAATTGCATTTTTCAACAAATAGAATATAGACAAAAAACAAAATAGATCAAAATTATAGTAAAAGATTTAAATATAAACTTAAATCCAGAAATAAATAGAAAAAGTCAAGCAACTAGTCAAAATATTCTCTCAAGATATCTGTTAAAAGAAATCACAAAGGACTACATTAATTTAGCTTTATTTTTCTACAAAAATTCTTTTATACTTTTTATCAAAAAACATACAATGATCAAATAATTACTATTTAGTTAGATTATATATTTATAAATAAAAATTATAACTATTTCAAATTAGAAACAAAACCAAGATTTACTAATTCAGACCATCTTTTGATTAAATGCATTCTAAGTCTAAAACAAAATTCTAAATATTTGATTATTTGGATATTTGATTCAAACTTTTTTAAGAACAGCCTACTGAAGAAAAAAATACTAGAAAAAATCAAAGATATTATTTTTGTAACAAATTAGAATATGAATAAGATCTATATTAAATCAATTATAAAGGTCTTCAAAAAACTCAAAACTTCAGAAGACATAATAGAAAGACTGAATAAGAAAGTTAGTCAAATAAAAAAAACATTGCTACATACACCTTATAATACTTCATCTAAAATAATTAAAAAAAAATAAAATAAAAATTATAATATAGTAAAATTTAATTTTATATTATAAAAAAAAAGTTTAAATTACTTATAAGCTATAAATAAATAAATTTTAAAAAAATTTTTAATTAAAAAAAATATTTACTAATTCTTAGTAAACTCTTTAAATATTAATTTTAAACTTATAGTTTTTAATATAATATTATAGCTTATATAAAAGATAACAACTTTTATTAATACAATTTTTTTTAATTTATTTGTAAAATTTAAACTTGTATTAAAAATAAAATTTTTTTTTAGTTTCAAAAATATATAAAATCTTAAAAAATTAAAAAAATTTTTATAATAAATTTTTATAATAAATTTTTATAATAAATTTTTTAAATAAAATCTTTAAATTTTTATTACTTAAAAGTTTCTTATTAATTTTAAAAAAATTTTCTAATAAAACTTATAAAATATATTTTCAATAAAATATTTTATAAATAAACTGTATTTCATATTATTAATAATTTATTGTATTATTTAAAAAATGCCAATTTTAATTTAAAAATCTAAACAAATTTGTCTAAAAAACAGTTTAAGAGATAATAATAATGTTAAATTTAAAGAATAAAATTTTTTATTTATAATATCACAGATTATGAAACATATTCAGTAATCATTATATAGTTTAATATTGTTATTCAGTAAATCACCAAATTTGTTATTAATTTCCTCTAATTCTCATATAACTTATAATGACTAAGTCAAAATAGATATGTTAGATTTGACTAGTTGGTTTATTTATAAGTACTAATTTTCTCTTCTAAGTTTTTTCTTTAAACTATTCTTTTATTAACCTTTGCTTCTTTTATCTTATTTTTATTTTCTTAACCTGGATTTATAATATTGAATCAAGGTCGAAACTCTTCTCTAATGTAGACAGCTTGGTCACATGACTTACAGAGAATGATCAAAATGCAATTTAGTAGGCTACAAATAGGTGAACGATAGAGGTAATGATGGGTTTAATGATAGTTTATTAGTTTGTGTTGGGTTATAATTTCATTTTTAATATGGGTCAGATACTTAAATTTATTATGCAAATGTATTCACTTGAGGGTATCTTCTGTTTTTTCCTTCTGAGCAAAAAACCCTTTATTTATAATAAAAGTTTTATTTACATTCGAAGTCAATTTCTTCTATATTGCCTATTTACACTATTTCTACATTAAGACCCTTATCCCTACTATTATAAAGAAAAAATGGATACTCTATATGCCGTCGATCTACTCGAAGTAACAAAAGTAATAAAAGTAATAAAAGTAAAAAAAGTAAGATTTCTCTTTTCATGTGACCGATTACTCGGGACCTAAATGCGACGATCGATCACGTGTGACGTGATAACTGTGGTATCGATTCCGGGGCTCACAATATATTAATAAAAAACTATAAGCTATATTTATGCAAATCTAAATTGTCCGAATTAATATTCTCTACTACGGGCAAATAAAATCTAGTTACAATGTAACAGTCATACCCTCAAAACGAAAATACATGGGGCTCAATAAGTTCATAGAAATTAAATTTTGCAAGAATAAATTTTTATGGTGACATGAAATATACAGTAAATTGATTTGATAATATAAGCTGAAATTAAACATATTTTAATAGTAAAACAGAGGAAACTCATCTACAGAAATTCCTTATTTACAAAAATGGTATTATTACAATTTATGTTACAAACTTGTAAGATATAAATGATTATGTGATCTAGTAATGTTATATGTTGATAGAAATGAAACAAATCTTTCTCATACGCATAAATTTCAAAAGCATGCATTAATGAGTTCGTCGCAATAACCTATTAAATAAATTCTAAGTTTTTAAGTCTATCAAAACCTTAGTAAGCTATAGATACTAGAAAAGTACCATTTAATAAATTGTTTAGTCTTTTAATCTCTATTATTTATTTCTATCTTCTTTTCAGTCGGTTTTTCCCACCTGCGATGATGAAAGCGAGAATGCTTATGTTTTTGTTGCCTTAAGTTTCCATTTCCACGTAAATGTCGACTTTTATTTGATTTCGGTCTTTCACGTTTGCGATTCACTTTTGGTGTTGATGAATTAGAAACTTCAAATTTTATTTTTCCTACTTTTTCACCATTAAAAGTGGTTTCTGTTTCTTGTGTTTCAGCTTGATTGAAATCTAGTGATGATATCGTATCATTCGCTAATGTATTGTGGGTAAAATTATTAAATTAGTCGAGTTTGTTAAATAAAAATTCAATATTCTTACCATAATCATTAATCAAGCTGCTAATCGATGCAAGCCCACCATAATTTGAGACTTCGATTTTTCCGTTTACCAAAAATTTTTGTGCATTCTCTTCCAATTTAATATATCCTTCTATGAAATGCTCTTGCATATCATTATGTAATCCAACTTTCAAGGTAGGTGATTTATTATCGCTTTTCTTTAAACTAGAAGCTTGTTCAACTGGTGAAGGTTCAATTTCACTACTAGATCCTTCAGAAAATAAATTCCTTTCCTCAATAACTTCTTGCTTCACCTGAAAGGGTATTATACACATTCATCAGATTCATTCCATTAAACTATTCATGAAAATATATTCCCGTGTTACTCAATATCGATCTTGGTTACCTTGACTTCAGGCTGCACGATACCTGATGATAAGATTACTGATGAAGCTGGACGATAGTGTAGATGAAGAACTGCTATTGGAGAATTAGATCTTGGCCTAATATGTTTACAAGATGTTAGGTTTTCTACCATAGAAACTGTTAAATATTATAATGATATTTACCTAAGAAAATTAACATTAGGCATCATATTGTCAGGAACCCACATTGGTTGAAAAGTAGTAGAAAGTCCAATTGACGCCATCGTCTTCCTCTCAGGTAAAATCTTTTGATGTAATTGAAAGTTTGGAATTTCTCCAACAAGCTCAAAAACTGGTGTCGCCCTATAAAAGTAGACTGAGATAGCTCCAATTCCGCCGTATGAAATTGGTTGTGAAGAATCGCTATAAACTTTATGACATTCATCGGACCACATCGTCTTGTCAAACTTGAAGTAATATCGGAAATCTCTGTAGGCACTCACAAAGTGGTCCCTCAAATAGGCACCAGAATTGTAAAGCTCGATATATCGGTAATCTAATTGACCATCTACAACTATGAAAGCCATTATAGGATCATGTGGTGTTGCTTTAGTTGAGGAGAATCTAATAGAAAATTGCACTCCAGCATGTGGAACTTCCGCCCAGATAAAGGAATCACTAAATGATATGCGAGAATAAATGACAGTATAACAGTATTACATGACAAATATGGGTTGAAGAAGTTTGAGAAGAAAAAATATTACTATTTGCCTTATTTTCCATTCCTTGTTTCTTTCTTCAAAAATGAATGAAGGTCCAGTAGTCGTCTATTTGCAAAGGAAACGACGCGTTTACTTTGCACACAGAATCATCAAAAGGCAACAATGTAATAAATATGTGAACTTACTGGAACATCCAGGGTTGTGATAGGTTGTGCTATTTCGGGAAGAGGACGTCCTTTTACAAGAATTTCAAGACAGAATCCGTCTAAAATCATAATGAAAGTTGAAACAATATTGGTTGACAAAATGATTAAACTGATATTTATATATCAAATAATAAATATGAAATGTTGTCATGATGTGTCCTATTAAAAAATAAACCTTTGACACGTATATATATTAATGAATATAGAATAGTGTCATCTCTTCTCTTTGGACATATTCTTATGTAATGTACTTCTCGAACTTTGGTAGATGTAATTACAATATAATTACGTGTAAACTATTAGACTGGTTATAACGTAGCGTATTCGCATTTTCATGTATACAGCTTACAACGTTAAACTTGTCAACCATTCTCTATTGAAAAAAATTATCATAAATTGATTAAATTCAGTGAGATTGTAATTACTTGTTTTTTTAGATAATGAATAAAAATTATACTAATAAATTTACTAAGATTTAACCCTTACTTCGTCGACGGATAATTAATTACATAGTGTATATAAAACACATATAATTTATGGTTTATTATTATATTTAAACACCTAATTTCCATAATCTTCAAATATATATATACTTCACATTCTTTTTTCACTATCTTGTTACATCATGTATATAAATTAATTGCATAAACCCATAATATCGGCTTTGATCCGGTTTGTATTATAAAAACCGAATCAGCCCTATTTTCTATGTAGATATTAACAGATTAGTAATTATTTAGATAATTACAAATTTATAGTTTCCTGCCCCTTTAAGTCTTTTATTAAGAAACATCATAACCTATCATAAACTTTCAATGATGTAAAAAAGAATAATAACAAATGCTTTTCTTTTTTTAAATCATTATATTGCAACAATAGGATCTTGTAAAGGTTCAGATCGTTATGCAACCTATAGAGATTTATCCAAAACTTTCAACTGTATATAAAAAACTAAATAATTTTTTTAAGAATAAATAAATAAATTATCTCAAGATTTTTGTTTTTTGCGGTACCTAAAGTGACTTATTAAAGCTAGATAGAATTTACCAATAAATAAATCAGAGAGTAGAAATAAACAACAAAAAGTATACATACTAAATCAGCAACACACCTCAGTAGAGAAGGCCATCAGAGTTTTCGTCGATTGAGTCCAAGTTTAAGACTCTAAACCATGAGACTGAAAAATGGTGGTAATAAAAAATAAAAATATCACTCGTCTAAAGAATATCATGATTAGGTTCTGGCATCACGAACCGAAAAAATGTCAAACAGGTCATAGTTTGACAGATTAGTTTACAGCTGTTCTCAAATTTTAGGACATCTGGTGAAAAATTGACCGAATAATTATTTTGCCGATTCGATAAGTTTATGATTTTGGTAATGTCGGTATGCGTAATAATGTGTATATATTATTATTTTATCTTTAATTACCAATGTAGAAAGGTGCAAAGTTTTTTATTCGCAGGTAATGATTATGATAGGCTTTGGTTGCAGTTTGATTCCAGATAAAGGGTTTTGGATTTGAAAGGGCATGTTAATTAGGGTTCTTTTGAAAGTTATTATAAAATCATTTCATTGCTTTTTATATTTTACATTTTTTTGTTAACTTTATTATATTTATTGATTTTTTTAAAGCCTTTTCTTTCTTATAGTGTACTGCTTTGAGTGGACCATTTAGCCAGTGCTTTGATTCTGCTGAGATTTTAAGTAATACACATTGGTTACAGTTTAAATTCAGCTGTATAGTACATGTTTGTATTTTCTTTGATGTATTACATCTTTAATATAATTAGATTAACTCAGTTATCTTACATAGAAACCTGGCCAAAGGATATGACGGTCAGGACGAGTAAGCTTGGTAGCTAAATATCCTATATTCTTTAGTTTATTAATAAAATTTAATACTTCTACTAAACTATTATATTGAAAAATAAATAAAAAATTTAAATTATAATCACTTTCGACTTTTACCTGTTTTTTAAAAAATATTGATTTTTTGTTAGAAATATATATAAAATAATAAATTATTAAAAAATCTTGAAGGAGTTTTACTCATTAGTAATATCGATATAAAGTATTTAATATAAATGCCTAATAAAATTTAATGGGTAAACCGCGGTTAGAGTACGTATAAAAAATAAATTGCCGAAGTTGGGCTTACAGTGAAAGTCTTTTTTTTATGCTAAGTAAACCCTTGAATTTCCAACAAATATTATAAAGCAAGTTGTTCTGGTTCTAATAGTTGTATTATTTTTACGTATCATTAGAAACTTTCTGAATTCCAACATTATATGAAAGTAATAGATTTTTGCTATCGCTATGAAATTTATAACTTAATGTTAACATTAAGGATTAACAGCCAATTAAAGTTAATAAACTACCCCAGTAGGGAGATCTGGTTTAAAATTTTGGTTGTTTAACTTTCTAACAAAGGTTTCTTTATAACCTCTTAATTAATCGGATAAAAATAAAAATTTTATTTTAACTATACGACTTGTAAAATTAAAATAAAAAATCATCGAATCTGATTAGATAATTGTGCAAATCTTAAAATTATTTTTGATATTCTCTCGATAAATATCAGACCCAATTTAATGAATTTATTTTTTTACTTAATTCTATAAGCTCGTAGAATTAAAATCAAAAATTTTGCATCTGATATTAAGAAGTTATTGAGAACCCTTTTTTTTGATGAAATTAGAATTAACCAATCGGGATTTTTAATAATGTTAATCATTTATCAGCCAATAAAATTAAGCTTAACCATGCTCTCGAAATCTAGATTTCTTTTCTTTTAGCAACAAACATTTCTCCAATACAGCAATATAAGCAACATTTCCCATTGTGTCTAATAACTAAGGTTGGCATTTTAGGACTTAGGATTTTTCGGACAGCTACTCCGAAAATTGTCGCTTAATATTAATCACGTCCGAAAATCAAAAAAATTGAATTTTATTTAATACTGTATTTATTCCTAAATTTTAGAATATATTTTAGAAATTGATGTATTCTAAACTAAGCTCAAAATTTTTAGGACGTCCGAAAACCAACTTTACTAATAACAACTACGATACACATCACATCATTGTAAAATGCATTTGTTTACCGATATAGTTCAGCCTTTATCAGGGTTTCGTCCTTTCTTCACTAGAAGATTCGTCTTTCGTCATTTAAGCAAAATGGCTTCGTCCAACAATAATTCTAAATATAGAGATCGAGATATCGTTCAAAAGCAAAGAATACAACGTCTTATTGATGATGAAACAGATAATCCTCCATTCTCACGTGAAAGACTTGTACTTGGTGATCGTCGAGTACAAACGTGGGGAAAATACCCTATGCGCAAGGTCGAAAGGAGTCGCACTAATCCCTTATCAAAAAAAAATTTGTTCAAATATGACTGGCCAAAGGTATTTACACGTTTGCATGGTATCCAAGATAAGATGATTCAACATTTCCAAAAGCTTCGAGAAAATAAGCAATACAGGTGGGAACAGCATCTAACTTTAGTACAAGGGGAAAAAAATATCATCGATTTAATGAAGAAAAATCATCCGATCAAAAGTTTAATAGTAACAGCTCCTAATAAGCCTAAAACTAAGTATGAAATTCAACCACCGGCTTTGGATTATCTTGAGAACCCTCATCGAATTGCTGCTGATAACTATTATCTTATGAACATTGATATGGTTCGAAAGATTTTAGGAAGTGGTGCAAAACCAGAACGTCATGAACTTGTGGCTGAAGTTCATTTTCCTCCAATAGCATCGCCACCAAAAGAACAGATGACCAGGTTTTTAATACTTGAAAAAGTGAATGACCCATACGATTTGGGAATGTTGATTCGTTCTGCAAAAGCTTTAGGATGGAATGGGTTATATTTGACCAACAAAACTGGTGATGTTTATAATAGTTTTGCACAAACAGCTTCAAAGTCTCATTCTTTGACTTGGCCATATATATACGGATCTTCTGAAGAGCTGCGCAAATTTTTACATGACAATGGGTTGAATTTACTTATTGCAGAACCACCTAAACAAAATCTTCAAACAATTTCTCAGGTTGTTTGTAAGTCTGATAATAGAATCTTTACAAGCACTGAAAAACTAGAACAACATGATGACATGATAAAAACGCCTTTGCTTTTCTGGAAAAGTGGTACATCTGATTTATCAGAATTAAAATTACCATCAAGAGTCGCACTTCTCTTAAGTAGAGAGCTTAAATCTGGAAGGAGAGATAATGAAAGTGCAATATCGATAGACAATGAAATGAGAGTTGGCATAAACGCACCATTTATTGATGTTCCATCAGCAGGAAGTATAATAATGTGGGAACTTAATCGAATAACTGCAAACTCTAAAAAGGTATGAAATATTTGTGTTTAATAAATTGCATATTAATTTATTAAATTTTTTTAAACCTACTGTATATACCGTATTTCATTGCATAAACCACCCCTATGATAGTAGACCACACGTGATGATTTTACTAATAATTTTCTTTACTAATGGTGAAATGTAACAGACTCCGGGTGGTTTATGCAATGAACTACGTTAAGTGCTGCCAAGTAAAACCAGGAATTCAAAGCATAAAAATGTTTTACAACATAATACGCCAATCAAAACAACTAAAATAATCGGCTATTTTTTTAAAAGTGTGGTCTTGTTTTAGTATTTTATTGATTATTGATATGAGAATATATTACAATTTACAAATATATGCTTTTTCAAAGACTAAGACTTGGGCTAGTTTATCCATGATTCAAACTATGTTAAGAGTAGACGAAGGCCTTGTCTAGACTGTGATTATGTAATAAAATCTGGTAATATATTGTAGATAAATGAGATTGTTTATTTGTATGTTTTTTTGTTATTTTTTTGCAAAGTAGTATTTATAAATTATATTAAACAGTATTTTATTAGAAATATTGAAAGTAAGATCATATAGTATTTTTTTTCTTTAAGTAGTCTTACTTTTATTGATTTAAATTATACAATACATCTATAAATAAGAATAATTACATATATACTGTCAACTATGGATATAACGGAAATCTGGGCTGACCAAAAAATTCCGTTATATAGCCTATTCGTTATACGTATCTATATACCTATATACCTATATAACGGAATTAATAACAGAGTTAGGCTGGATTCCGTTATAATGGTTAATATATATATATATATATATATATATTGCGTTCTTATTGGTTTCAAGTTGTCGCATTATTTTGAATTCGTTATATAGATTAAAATTTTATAATAAAATCGGTATATGGGCTGGCGAAGAGTTCCATTATGCGTAATATGACTTTATTACTATTAAATCCGTTATAACCATTATACATTATATATTAAAATTCGGTACTTCAAATTTGGTCTGTTAAACTGGTGATTCCGGTGTAAGGATGTCCGTTATATCCATAGTTGACAGTAATTAATCTAATAAGAAGTTTATTTAACTACAGTACCAGACAGCAAGAAACATCTAATTTTTATATATAAAATATAAAAAGTGTTATAACTTTTTAAAATTTATAGATTAGTAAAAATCTGTTCTAATTAAAATTGTAGTTTGAATAATAAAACAACAAATCTGTAAAAGAAATTTTTGTTAAACAAGTTTGGTTTTGAGTTATAGTATTTTAAATTTTATATAGATTTAAAAATTTGATATTTAATATATAAAAAAAAAATCTATATAATTTATTAACCAATCAAAATTCATTATATGAAAATTGACCAATCATAATTGATTACATAATCTTCAAATTTGGTATTTTTAAAAAAATATTAGATGGTTCTTGTTGTCTGTTACTGTATAAATAGTATGCTTATGTTTTTTTACTTTGTTTTAACATACTTGATATTTTGCTATTGTGTATTAATATAGGCTGACAGGTAGATAGAAGTGGTCAAGATTGGATTTTAGTTTAGTTTTGTTAGCATCTTGTTTAGCTAAAGAGTAAGTTATATTGTGTAAAGTATTTTTTGAATGTAATTTGACTTTGTATATAGTGTAATTAATGTTTTTAAGTTTGATTAAAAAATTTAGCATATGTATAATATTCTAATTATTTTGTTTGGTTTGTAAATTGTGATAATAGAATATTAAATTTGTAAGTATTTGAATAGTAGATAAGCTGTTAAGATAGATATAAATTAGGCAATTAGTAAGTAAAATAAGAAAAAGAAGAATAAGTATTACTAATTCAGTTTATGTTAAGTTTAATGCATAGGTTATAAAAGCATTAAAATTGATCTGTGTATTCTTTTCAAAAATCTAAGAAATGCCTATAGAGATGTGAATTAAGTATAGAGGCATTTGTATAAAAGTATAAATTGGTTGGTTCTAAGAATAAAATTTTTTTGTAAAGGTTGATAAGTTGATTTTGATAAATAAGATCAAATATTGTGTTTTGTATTAGAAGAATTTTTAAGGAAGGTAATAAAAAAAAAGATAAGAATTATAAAACTGGTTTGTATAGCTCTAAATAAATATTTTGAAGTGCTTGAATTTTTTGATTGTTAATATTAAGCTCAAAGTGTTGTTTTTTTTATGTTTTACATTTTAAGTTAATAGTATATTTGTAATTTGTTTGAAGCATTGTAAATGTAAAAGAAATACAAATTGTGTTGAATGTTGAGTTGATAATTTAATAGTTTTAAAAAGTAATAATAAGTTGGATGTATTTGTTATTTTGCCTATATGTTAGTTAGAAGATAAAATGTAAAGTGTCCATGTATTTTTGAGATTATTGAATTAAATTATGATAATATTAAATGTATTTAAAAATAGATAAATTGATAAAAGCTAAATGTTGGGCCATAAGTGCAGTATATAAAAAATAGATATTTAGTTTAAGAGTATTTTAAACCAGCTTGAAATAAAACCTCAAGAAGATTTGAGAATTCTAAAATATATGTTTTTCATGAAAGTAGATTTTAATTGTCTGCTATAAGAAGTTGTTCAAAAAAAAGATTTTTATTGTTTTTAAGGCTTAAAGTTGTTAAATTACTTGAAGATAAGATAAAATTATAGATGTTATTTAGTTGGTTAGTTTATTTGTATATTGTTAGTTAGGTTAAATAGAAGTTGTTGAGAAAAATATTATTTTTATATAGATGATAAAGTTGAGATATTATAGTAAAATTAGTAGTTTTTTTATAATTTTTTAGAATTGTATCTTGTGTTAGAAGTGGCTTTCATATTTTGGAAAGTTATTCCTTAATTTGGTGTATAAAAATTTGGTTTTAGAGTTTATTATTGTTAAAGCATCTTTCTATATTGCTACTATTAACTTGTAATATAAGTTTATTTAGTATTAGGATGTTGAGTAATTGTGGATTAGTAACTATATTATTGTTTGTATTTGTGGATAGTTAGAGCATGTGTTTGGTATATTTTGTTAAGTAGTTTGATAATTGTTAGAACTGGTTTTGTGAAGAGAAACAGATTTGAAGTAAGTATTCAATTAATTGTAAAAGAATAGTATTAAATAGTTAAGATATTTGTATAAGAAGAAGTTTTTTGTATTGAATCATATGAGTAAATTGAGAAATTTTGCTAAAGATTTTTTTAAGTATAGATTTAGTTGATTCTTTTTTATTTAAGAAAATATCTAAGTATCTAATTGATTCATTAGATTTACAAAGTATAATTAGTTGGTTATTAAAGTTTAGAGGATTTATATCTTGGGTGGTGTTAAGAAATACTTTTTTGTTAGATGTACTATAAATAAGGTTTGATTTAAATAGGTTAACTTGTATATTATTTAGTTGATAGAGTTCTGATATATCATTTAGAATATTTTGAAAATCATTTTTGAATATATAATGCCATACTGTATCATCTATGAAGGCAAAAAGTAGTATTATTGTAGTAGTTGGTATAGTTAAAAAGATTGTTTCTAAAGAAAATTGTGATAAGATTTTAAGGAGTTTTGAGCTATATTTTGAGTTTATATAGCTAAGAATAGAAATATAGTAAAATTTTCAAATTAATGAGAAATAGGTTTTTTCTTGTTCTATGTCTAAGTGTAGAATGATTAGGTCAGTAAGATTATAAGCAGTAATTGCTCTAGCTTTTTTGTTTTGATAAAGAAATTTAATTAAGTTTAAACTAGTTTAAGGAATATTAATGCATTTGCAAGCATCTAATAAATGTGAAATATTAATTTTGTCAAAGGTCTTAGATATGTCTTAAAAGAATATTTATGCCTCTTTGTTGTTAGTTTTGTAATGTTCAATTGTATTAAATAATATTTGTATAAAAATATAAGTTGAGCTATTTTTAGTTGCTATGAAGTTTAAATTACTTAATAGATGATGCTAAGAGATGATTTGGTTAAGGTGGGTTGTGAAGATTTTAGTAAGATATTTTTTTATAGGTTCAATTAATGAAATAGGTCTAACTTAATCTAAAGTGAAGTTTTATAAGAATTTTTTGGAAATTAAAAAAATAGATATTTTTTATAATATTAGAATTTGTTGTAATATAAAACATTTTAATAGAAAAAATCTGATAAGATTTTGGCCTTTAGAGTTTAGATATTTTAGATATTCATAGTTGGTTTCAGAAGAGCTAGCAGCTTTTTGGTTTAGAAGATCATGTATAACTTTGTTTTACTCTTTTAAAGTAATTTCTAAAAAGAGATTAACAAAGTAAGGTTTATTTTTTGAATGAGATTTGTAAAGTTTATAATATTTTGTATTTTTTTAAATTGGTAAATATAAAAGTTTTTGAAAGTAATCTTGAAAATAGGATTGTAAAGCTTGTTTTATTTTAGTTAGTTGAGTAATATGTGTATTGTTGAAAAGGAGTCAATCTAAGTTTATACTATTATTGTGTTTTCTAAGATATTTTAAAAAGATATTTTAGAATTTTGGTAGAAGTTGTTGTTTCTTTCTTCAATTTTATTTTGACTTTTTTTTATTGTATTTTTTTTGTTTTTCTTTAAGGATTTGAGTTTTAAGGGTTTTGATTTTAGTAATAAAAAATGTTGAAAATAAAGTAGAAACAGAATTGTTATTAGTTAATATTGAATAGAATGATGGTAATAAGATGTTTTGTGAATATTTACTAAAATATAAGTTATAAGTTTGTATAAAGTTAGGTTTGTTGAAAGTTGTTTTGAGAAGAATTACTTGTTTAATTTGTTTATATAGTGATGTAAGAACAGGTGAAAGTTGTTTGTTTTAATATAGATTAATTTTAACTTTTTTAAATAAAATATGTTTTTGGATTGCTTTAGTTAAAGCTTTGTTAATTTGATTCTATATATTGTTAAGTTTTAAGTTATGAGTAATATTGGTAATAGATGTAAAAAGTAGTTAAAGATTTTGTTCTATGTGAGTTTGATAATTTTCTA